ATTTCAATCCTCCCTAATTGATTCCCATATTCCAACTCCCGATTCTCTTTGATAAACAGCTTTGATAAACTCGCGCGACAAAATTCATATGCAAATCACGATTCACGTGCACACAAGGAGAGGAGAGAGAGAGAGAAGAAAGAAATCGATTCCCTTCGATCCAACGAAAGGGTGGTGTTGCAAGGCTGGCGTTGAATGGATACGTAGAAGACGTAACAAGTGGAGCAAAACTGTGCTCAAGTATTTACGGGGAAATTCACGGTTAACACGCAGTCCATTATCAGCGTTCTACGCCTTTCCTCGCTTAATGATGGAAATTTTATCGCGTAAACCCTCCCCTCTCCCGTGTTAAACTAACTGATCCAAGGCTTGTATTAGCGTGTATAGAAGGGGATGGTGGTTGTCTCGCGGCGTGCTCCCAACTTTCTCGTTGAAGTCACGCGATCGGATAAGCTGCGGGGGATTAACCGTTAAACCGATGGTATAAACGCAAAGAGAGAAAAGAGGGAAATGTAACGGGTGGAAACGAAGTTTAGGTTGATCTAATATTTCGGGAAAATTGGGTCAAACGTTTTGGGAAGTTGGGGAAAGGGAGATACAACGGTTGAAATAGTTTGATAATTGTTTCGGATGCTTTTGAGTGTGTTAAGGTGGTGGGGAAGGGTGAAGATGGTTTCGTTTGTTTGGTAAATTTGGAATTTTTGGAAAGAGGATGATCTTTCGAGGATACGTTTCTGTGGATATTTGTGGTAATTGCGAGTATTTTGTTATTTAGAATATGTTGTTTTTTGTGACGATGGAGAAAAGTAGTTTTGTTCATTAATAATTTGAATGATAAATGTGTTTGTAAAGTAATCTTTTTTTTTAATTTGGAAAATCTATAGGGTCATCCTGTATATACATATTGATCCTGATAATTGGTAGAGAGAAAGAGAGAGGGAGATATCAGGGTATGTTGGATATTAATATTATCGCTGCTATAACACAAGCAAAAGTTGTTTGTTGTAAAACTTTTTAAATTTATCGTAAGATAAATTATTATAAATTTCAATTTTAAATTGAAATAAAATCAGGAGAAAGTAGAAATATAAATATAGATTCGTATATTTTGGATAAAAATGAATATTTATTGATGTTTAAATCTAATTAATTTAAATTCATTAAATTTCAATTTAAAATTTTCAATCAAAGCTGATAATATGACGATTATCTTTAATCTTGTTTCGTGATGATATTGTTCAGACGTTTAATCGATAATCTTTATTACAATTCATATAGTAATTGCACATTATTAATGTTTAAATCTAATTAATTTAAATTTCAAATTTAACAATTATCTTTATTTTATTTTAGTGATAGTATTCTTCAGATATTTGTTCAATGAAACACACATTAATTTATAACACTTTTCTTTTTTTATTAAATTCTATTATTATGAACTGTACTTTATACCATTTATTGTTTATTTATTATTATTGTTTCCAACTTACTTTCTCCTTCTATTTTTCTATTAATCCTTTATTTGATTATTATATCATTACTTATCCTGGAAATTTCGTTGGATGCTCAAATTTCTACACTGTCCGTCTAATAATTTCAGTGAAATCAGAACCTCTCTTTATCGAACCTCTCGTCCTCGAGCATAAAATGACATCGATAGTAAATATTGATTACTAAAAAGTATCTCATTAAAGATATTCGATAAATTATAACGTGGGATAACAAAATTATTTTATCGTTTTACCATTCATCGTAACAATAAACAATAATAAATCGTTCAATAGAAATTAAAATTTAACGAAATAAATAATCAATTACGCATTTTATTGAGAAATTGATGAACATAAAAAGTATTCCTCCTAATAATCGATAAACATTTTATTCAATTCTAATTTTTGTCTAAACACACACACACACACACAAAAATAAATAACATATAAATAGACTCAAAGCATTTTCAAAAAATTTGGCGCCATATTAAATCTCATTCCTTCTTATTTATAAATAATTTTCATTATCATTATATAACTTGAATATATAAAAATATATATCTTCAGAAGAATAAGAATTAAAATATAATTCTCCTCTTAGATTTAATTTTAAAATTAAATATCAAATTAACACCTCGATCGATAAACGATGAAACAAAACGATACACCCCTTCGAGGGAGCACAAGCTACAAGCCAGGATCAAAAAATCGTTGGCACACCCCGTACACGAGAAGACATGATCGAGGATTGGTTCAGAAGAGGAGGAAGAAGTGGAAGCAAATAAGGGATGTAGTAGTGGAAGCGGCGAGCACAAGGGAGGGATGGGGAGGACAATGGCGAGATGTTGGCACGTCACGTCAAGGGCTAAAAGTCCGCGAAACAATATCCAACCACCATCCCTCCCCTCCCTCTCCCGGACTCTACATCTCTCTTCCCCTTTTCGGCCGCTTCTTCTGTTCCGTATTAGTTATCGTTTATCAGGCCGGCCAGACAAAACGCGCCGCCGGGAATTGGGTGAGCCATCTGTTGCCAGACATGATCGATAAAAGTCCGCCAAGTGCTATCAGTGCTAAACTGCTATTTCGACGAGCTGCCGCACGTTTCACCCCCTCCTCCTCCCATAACCTTCTCCTCCTTCGAACAAAACGGGCCAAACACCAGTGTGTGTGTGTGTGTGTGTGTCTCTCTCGTTCTTTTCTTTTCGATTTCTTCTCTCTCTCTCTCTCTCTCGTTTCTTTTCATCCTCGGCCCTCCCCCGCGCAACATCTGTACGGAACCAGAAACCGATCGGAGGAAGTGTATACGCAATAAATTGAATCCGGCCCCTGCAAATTGCTCGTTACGCCCTCGTCCTCCCCTCCCCCACGCTCGATTAGGCTTTTTGCGGAGAGGAATTCTCGATAAAGGATAGAGAATGGAGTCCGAGCTTTTTTTCTTCCGCGTGGATTATGCCCACGTTTCCATTGTGCTTTCAAGGAGGGTTGTGGATGTGTTTTTCGAGCGTTGGAGGCTTTTTTTTTTAATAGGTTTCGAACCGATGTAACAGATTATTTTGTTGGGATTAATTTGGGATTGTGATTTTTTCAATATGGTTTTATTTTAATTCTTCGAGATTATTCGAAAAGATTTTTGTTTAAATTTAATTACTTCAGTCATTTATTAGCGTTCCAATCGATTATTCAAATGGTTTTGATCGAATCAATCTGTAAATTCTTTCTCAATTTGTGTCTCCATTATGTGGAGACGTTAACGTTGAACGAAAGAACTGGATTGTTTTTATTTCGTAATTTCCGGTGAATTACTTGAGGGATATAATAATTTTAGAGAACAATATCGAAATAGTAGGGGCAGGAGCGACGAAACTTCCCATTTCGCCTTTTCCAATTTCTGGTGTGTCAATTTTGCAACACATGGCCCTTGCGTTATCACAATAGAAGATTGCACTTTTTTCTCCTATTCTCCTTTTTTTTTTTCGGACAATTCCTCGGGATAACTTGATCAAATTGTTCCCTCGTCCCATTGAAAAATCATTTTACTCGAAAGAGACCAATAAGCGAGTCGAAATGATAATTTATTTGTTATTGGTATATATATCTTTTTTTATTTGACAAGTAAATTTGTCGACAATTCTTTTGAATAAAGTAACAAACGCTTGAATAATTTATTTATTCCTTTATTTTCTTTTTATTCATCTCGTGTTTCTACATATTTTTCATATATTCACAGATTTTATAATATAAAAAATTTCCAGCGAAAATAACATTCTAATTTTAGTATACCTTCTAACGAGATGTGTGTATTCTGTTGACTCCGTTTTATTCGCTTGATTCAGTAAAAATATTAGAAATCATATTTATATTTCATAGTTATATAATTATATTCATATTCCAAAAGTCAGGAAAGTGTGCGTATATAGATATATTTAATTGATTGTTTTTTTTATTAAGTTTTTTTTATTATTCGCAATTCGGCGAATATCTATAAATAAAATTATTTTATTCCCAGCGAAAATCAAAGAAAATAACATAAAACGATCATCGGTGAAATAAATTCGAAAATCTAATTAAAAAAAGGAAATAAATTATATCCCTTTTTCTACAAAATTATGTATTTTTATTCGTTTTTGCATTTGCAAAAAAAAAAAAAAACAACTTATTACTATTCCTTCTTGTAATAAATTTTATCCAATGTTACATTAAAAAATGGAATTAAATTCAACGTCCAATTTAAATTAAATCCAAAGTTTCTTCATTTCGGGATTAATTCCCTCTGAGGAAGGGGAGGGGGAGGGGAGAGTTTGTCCACGTGTTGTCGTGGAAAAATTTTCGAAGGAACGGAATCGTAAAGAAATTTTAATATAACAAGTTGCACGGTTTTGCCGTCGGGGATAGAGAATATAAAAAAAACTGAAGTATTTTTATGAAACCGCAGCACAAATTTAATATCGCCTGTAAGCAGTTGCACGGGAGATGCCCGGCAGAGATTAGTGTGAGAGTAGTGTACATGTCGATACATGTATAAATTGAATCCACTATAGGAATTCCTCGTCAAAGAGTGGAATTCTTGCTTCCTCTTTTTCCGCCAATACCGCCTTCTATGTACTGTGACGTCGAGCGTGAAAATGCTCCACTCCACCACCCCGTTCCAGTTTCTATCAGGGAGTTATGCATGCGGTAAAAAAAAAAAAAAAAAAAGGAAAAAAAAAAAAAAAAAAAAAAAAAAGGAAAAAAAAAAAAAAAGGAAAAAAAAAAAAAAAGGAAAAAAAAAAAAAAAAAAGGAAAAAAAAAAAAAAAGAAAGAAAAAAAAGAGTGACGTTTGATGTCAGTTAAATTGTCCTTCTAACTATCGGGAAAATTGGTAACGTGACATTGTATCGTATGATTAGTCTTGTGAGAATGAAAATTCGAAAATATTTATTATTGTTAGAACGTAAAGAATTGTTTCATATAAAAAGAAATTTAAAAGTTAATTACTTATGTAAGTAATTTATTCGTGTAATTATATATATATATATTTTTATTTAATTTTATTTGAAAATTATTTTAATTTATTTAATTTTTAATTTAATTAATTTTATTTAAATTTATTAAGAATTATATTTGATCATCAAGATAATAATACATGGTGATGAGGTCTGATTATGCAACGACTCGTACTACTAGCTTCGAATCTTTCGAGTAAGAAAATATTACGTTAAAATAATATAAAAATATATCTTAAAAAACTCTTCTTTATTAATCTAACGTGAAATAATTTCTCTTTCTGTTTAGATATGGATCTGCCGAAACACTCGAAGAAATTCATAAGAGGGGAGGATGACACGAACGAGGCGATCAACGATCGAGATCACAGACTGAATCACGTGTATCAAGGTTCTTTAAGGGAAACAGGTTCGACTTTGGAGCCATTCTTCGAAAGCGACGACGTGTCTTCGTCGACATCTTCGAACGACATTCTACCACCCGCCTCTTGCATCCTTTTGATAGCATTTTCCCAATTTTTCGCTTTCGCGTAAAGAACGTTATTAAAAAAAAAAAAAAGAGAAATAAAAACACGCGTGATTAACGAAGAAAAAAAAAAAGAAAAGGACGAAGAAATATCATATCATTTTTATTTCAACGATCATCGATTCTTTTTCCCTCGTGTGTTTTACGCATTCTGTGCTGCGTTATACCGCGAAACAATATGATTTTGGAACGATTAACGAGATGTTTGTGTTCTCATTTGTTCGATCACTCCATCGATGATACTCTACTAGAGGATCTAGCCGACGAATTAGAATCGAAATGGAATTATTTCGGCAGAATTTATTCGGTAAGTAAAGATTACGTACAAATTTTTGTTTCGATCGTTTTTTAATTTTTTCGTATCATATTTAAATGATTATTTTGTTACAATTATATTTATTTTGGATATTTAAAGTTTGAATAAGAAAATATTCGTATCATTTTCTTTTCACGGATTTATTTCACGAACGATGTTGATAAAATAAAAATTCATTGACGAAAATTAAACACGAAAATGTTATTCGACGCAAATCGAACGAGTTTGTTACACATCATTCTACTATACAAAATTTATACAAATTTTGATATTTCATTTTGGATCGATTAACTTTTTCTACAACTTTTCGCAATAAATTTGTCTATAGTTTGAAAGTAATAAATAACGTGTAAACGTAAAAAGAGTTTAGCTGAATTAGAGCAATTTTATACGAAACTTCGTGATCTGCACTGTTGAACGACTGATAAAAGTATCGTAAGCCTTATCGGTATACTTTTTAACTAAAAATTCGAGAATTCAATAAACTGGACCAAAATATTAATATATCTAATATATCTAAACGAAAAATTTCTTCGAACGATTACTAGATCCTCTGATTCTTCAAAAATCGATATTCTATTTATCATTTAAAAAAAAAAAAAAAAAATGTACAATATATACCCAAGTGAGAACCAACAATTAAACGTCCACATTTTATATCGCGAAATTCAAATCAAAATAACTTATCATCAAATTTTTAATTACCATATATTTCGAGATTTAAACGTTGTTATTAGCTTCATTCATAAAAAAGCTGAATCGAACAACAAATTATACAAATTATACTTTATCCTATTTGTTAAAATTTTGAAAATTTATTCGTTTCGTTCATTCATTCACGAATAAAAGAAAGTTTAAAAAAATTGATTTTTAACCACCAAATATTTCGGGATCGTTTTAGAAGGCGACAAATTTAAATTCGTTTCGTCGGTGTGTTGGGCATTTTTATCTTCCCAATTAAGAAGACACGTCTCGTTAGAGCAATTTCGCCATCCACCTGTTACTCTGTAATCTACTTGACCTATGTGTAAGTCCACACTTTAATGTAGCACCACTCGTGCGATCTTTCAACAAAAGAACCAGACCAGAGAAGTATTTTAAAGTGGTTTTAAAAATACCCGCCAATGTGTCAGGTAGTTAAATGACTATAAAAACTGAAGCGGTTGAAGGAAGGGAGGAAAAATATATATATATATATATACTCTTGGCCTATTAAATGATCGTTTTTTAACGGTTGAAATTTAAGAAGGGATCATAAAAAGATTTTCAATATCAATCAGACATTATTTTAACAGAATAATTTTTAATAATAATCAAATTCTTTTTTATGAAAATATTTAGAGATTCTGATTTCTGGTTTTATAAAATTATATTACAATTAACTATAATAAATTTCGAATTTTAAAACTTTGATACTTTATATATCTTTTTTTTTATTTTTATTAAAATTATTCTCTAAAATAATATATCGTTATGTAAAATTTCTCGGGAAATGATACCAGAATTTCGTATACATTTTTAATTTGTGTAAAACATAATAGGATACACGTAAAGCCAACAATCCGCTTTTGTAATCTACTAAAATAATTTCCCTTTGTAATCATTTCACATTATCCCCTATAATTTAATATTGTTCCGTTACATACGGAATTTTAGATAAAATACCTTAATTATTATTTCATTCTTTGACACACGGAATGATCAATTATCCATTCCTTACCTTCTCTCTTCGAGGAAAAAACAGATGATCAATTAAAATACCAAAAAAAAAAAAAAGACAAAAACACATCAAAATAATAATACAAAAATTAAAAGAACTAATCATTCTCAAATTCCTTTGTACTTTTTACAATTTTATTTATTATAATTAATCCATCCTTCAACCTATTCATTTCTCAACTTTCATCAACAAGTGTAATTCCTAATACCGAAATTCTTTGATGCAATCAAAAAACTTAACCCCCTTTCACCATTTTAAATCACGCCACGTCACGAAAAAAAAGAAGCGAGCGAGCGAACGAAAAGTGGTTAAAAATTGAAACGAAATTGAATCCTTCTCGCTCGGCATCGTCCACCAAATTGAGCACGCCTATCGGATAACGAGAATGCCCCGCAAAAAAAAAAAAAAAAAAGAAAAAAGGCCAACAACCCCCCTCTATTCGATTCATCGAATTTCATCCGATCCACACCGATCATCTCGAGAATCGAGCAAAAATCTCCACGACTTTAGACCCCTTCCCCTCCCCTCTTTTGTTTACTCGCGCGGCACAAGAGACAAGAGAAGAAAATGGAGGCATCCAACCCCCTCCATCCTCCGATAAACTCCGCCGTCCACGGAGGTGGTGCGCATTATCGCGTCTGGTCGTGCGACGAACGTGAAATTAATATTCTAACGAATATCGGAGAAACGTAGTTTACGAACATCCCTCGTCACGTCGAACAGCTCGCTCCACCGTGTGATTGTTCGTTCGTAGGCTTAACGAGATATCTCGTTAGCGGCGCGTGTTCGAGGCACCCTCTCTCCTCGGCCCTGTCGAATTGTCCTATCTGTTCCAATGATAGAATTATTAAATCCCGTGCTTTCTCTCTTTTTGTCCTTTAGTGGCGGTTCTTTCCAACGGACGTCTTCCTCTCTGTCCTTTTTTGACGGAGGGTTCAGTGAGGGATGTGCGTCTCTTTTCAACGCGTGTGAGTTCGGTGGAGATCAGTGTTTCTCAACGTAACGCGTAACGTGTGTGAGTAAAGGGAATAAATTTTGAAGGTAATTGAAGAATAATGTACTTATTTTTTTCAAGACAATGATACTCTGATCTGTTGTATCTCTAAAAATTGATTATGGTAAAGGAAAAGTTTTTGAGATGTTGTGTATAAAAGGAAGGATTTTAATAAGATACGTTTGTCGATCAGCCATTGAAGTGGTCGAAGAATGATGATTGATCAGAGGAATAATAAAAATTTTTGTTTAGATTGAAATTTAATATCGAATTAATTGCCAAGAAATATTAATTTTCTTCGACAAACGTATAAAGATTCCAAAAACGAAGGAAGAATCAAAGAGTAATGGAAAAAGTGCAATCGATAGATTTGTCGATCAGCCATTGAAGTGGTCGAAGAATGATGATTGATCAGAGGAATAATAAAAATTTTTGTTTAGATTGAAAGGATTTAATGTCGAATTAATTCCAAGGAATATTAATTTTTTTCGACAAATGCATAAAGATTCCAAAAAGGAAGAATCAAGGAGTAATGAAAAAAGTGCAATCACTTAAAAGAGATAAAAATCTTGCGATAAAGGAATGGAAAAAAAAAGGTTGAGAAACACTGATACAGAGAGGAGTTTCTCGTTTCTCTTCGATCAAAGTGGACGCGATATTATTATAATCGTTGACAAGGATATCAGGCAACCGATATAAATAAATAAACGTGAAATTTAGTTACGTAGCTCGTCATCGAGCACAAAGAAACGCGTGTGAATTTGATTTGATTAAAACGAATCGACGAAACGTTTCGCGTAAATGATGCGGAGGGTGGTTGGATAATTTGTTGTTCGATGGCTTTTGATAATTCTCGGTTCGTTCAACTCATTGAACGATAATTTACAATTGAGAAGAATTGTTTAAATAAAAGGTACGTAGACTTGAAAAAAAAGAAAAGGAAGATTTGAAAAATGATAAAGGAAATCATTTTCCATTGTTTTACAATAATTGAAATTCTTTGCAAAAATTTAATTTGGCTAATTTTTTTTTCTTCTTTATTCTAATTAGTTTCCTTTTTTTTTTTTTTTTACTTAGTAGC